GTGCGAATTCAAAGAAATCCCAAACGTAAGCAGAAACTGTTGGCCCTTCAGATGGGGTTAAGCAGAACCACGGCGTTAAATGAAGACTTAGGGCTTCGGGCATATCGAAGAAAAACAGGACATCGTTTGAATGCTCGTCTAATGGATCTGAGACTGAAGAGATGCCGCGCTTTGGTGAAGCGGTACGCGGGAAAAAAATATCGGGAAATTCTTTTTTCGGATAAAAATTTTTTTACCGTAGAAGAGAGCTACAACAAACAAAATGATAAGGTGTACGCACACAGTAGTGAAGAAGCGAGCAACCGTATTCCGCGTGTCCAACGAGGTCATTTTCCATCCTCGCTCATGGTATGGTTGGGAGTTTCTTATTGGGGCTTAACAGAGGTACATTTTTGTGAGAAAGGTTAAAAACGAATGCAGTTGTGTATCAAAATACAGTCCTGACGAACCTTGTGTAACCTGTTTCTCATACCATGTTCAATAACAGGCACTGGGTATTCCAACAAGATTCGGCGTCAGCTCATAGAGCGAAGAGCACACAAGACTTTTGACAGCTCCGTGGCGTAGTGGCTTAGCAATGAGTGGCTGCGCTTGGGGGTCGCGGGTTCGAATCCCGCACGGAACAAGTATTTGTACGACCTACAAGTAATTGTTCCGAGTTTGGATGTTTGTCCTTGTGAAATTTGTGTTTGTAAACTGCCCCCCACGATACAGGAGAAAAACCTAGTGTGGAGGTAACGTTCTTTAAAAACAAAAAAAAAAAAAAGACTGGCTGGCGGCGCGTGAAATCGACTTCATCCGACACAAAGACCAGTCCAGATTTGAATCCGTTAGATTACAAGATATGGTAACACTTGGAGGAAAAGGCGTGCTCAAAGCCTCATCCCAATTTCGAGTCACTCAAGACATCTTTAATTAAGGCAGCCGCCGATATGACATGGACCTCGTTCGTGGTGAGATAGACGACTGGCCGCGCAGATTGAAGGCCTGTATTCAAAATTACGGAGGTCATTTTGAATAAACTATAGTGTCATAAGAATCTATGTTTTGTTAAGTTCATTTTGGTATATAAATGGTTACATAATGAATAAACTTGTTTTAATTATTTTACATTAAACATGTGATAGAATTCATGACCTGACTAGGTAATATGCAATTTGGGTACAGATGATAAACCAGGGTCACATTGGGTAGCTTTATATATCGATACGAATGACGTCGGTGAATATTTTGATTCATATGGACGGGCACCTGCACGAAATTGTAAAAGATGGAACTGGAATGTTGATAGGACTTCAGTTTGTGGCGAATATTGCTTAATGTATTTGCTATATAAGTTTCAGGGATGTTCAATGCATAGTTTTACGAGTATATTTACAGAGAACACATTGTACAACGATATGTTAGTGGATGAGATGTTTCGCTCCTAATTTATAGATAATAAGTAATAAGATTTTGTATTTCATAAATAAAAATTTTAACAAAATTAGGTAAAAAGAAATTGTAAAAGATGGAACTGGAATGTTGATAGGACTTCAGTTTGTGGCGAATATTGCTTAATGTATTTGCTATATAAGTTTCAGGGATGTTCAATGCATAGTTTTACGAGTATATTTACAGAGAACACATTGTACAACGATATGTTAGTGGATGAGATGTTTCGCTCCTATTTTATAGATAATAAGTAATAAGATTTTGTATTTTATAAATAAAAATTTTAACAAAATTAGGTAATGTGTTGAAAAGATGGAACTGGAATGTTGATAGGACTTCAGTTTGTGGCGAATATTGCTTAATGTATTTGCTATATAAGTTTCTGGGATGTTCAATGCATAGTTTAACGTGTATATTTACAGAGAACACATTGTACAATGATATGTTAGTGGATGAGATGTTTCGCTCCTATTTTATAGATAATAAGTAATAAGATTTTGTATTTTATAAATAAAAATTTTAACAAAATTAGGTAATGTGTTTAAAAGATGGAACTGGAATGTTGATAGGACTTCAGTTTGTGGCGAATATTGCTTAATGTATTTGCTATATAAGTTTCAGGGATGTTCAATGCATAGTTTTACGAGTATATTTACAGAGAACACATTGTACAACGATATGTTAGTGGATGAGATGTTTCGCTCCTATTTTATAGATAATAAGTAATAAGATTTTGTATTTTATAAATAAAAATTTTAACAAAATTAGGTAATGTGTTTTATTGATGATTCAGATTAGTGTTGTAGATATGAAAAAATGAGTATTACAATAGCATAAGCCGACCCACACGCTGGACGAATAAGTAAAGGTAGTCAATCAACAATAGATAAGTAGATAAGGACAATGGAGCGCTAATGACGGTTGAGGCTCGTAGCGGATATCAATTAGATAAGAGTTAATTGATCTGCACATCTCCGGAACCGTGCATCCTACGCAAAAATGGACCGCACATTCGTGATCAGAGCATGCCAAAACCTTTTTTTTTTTTTTTTTTTAGGATTGTGAGTCGACGAACGTCGTGCGCCAGAACTGGTACAACCTTTCTACAAGTGCGCCAGAACTGGTACAACGTAACTACTCATAGTTTATTGATTCTTGCCCCCATGGTTTTTTTAATAAAGCTTTTTTATAGCAACAATGAATTCATTGTTGCTATAAAAAAAGATAAATAAAAAATAAACACCAAGCCGAAAAAAATATGAAAATACTAACCTCACTTCGTCTCCCGATTTACCACGTCCTCTGTGAACTCCACGGCTCGCACTGCTTATACGTCTACCGCGATGTCCACGACCACCACGGCTTTCATAGCCATCAGACCCAGATGGTAGAGCACTATCACTCGATGATGTCCAATTAGAACATTAATGAGAAAAAAAGCATATTATATGGAAAATGTTCAACGATCTTCAAGACAGCTGCAGCCTCCACAAATTCGTAAAGGCACACGACTTAGTTCGGCTATCTAAAATTTGTCAAGCATAGTAAGCAACACCTCTCAACAAAGGCTAGGTATTATATAATAGGTAGGCAGGTAGTTGGTAGGTACTATGTAGTAGTAGTACTATTAGTATGAATCAAACACCTATTAAATTTAATATTATCAGTGCACCATCACCTAAAGCGTCATTGGATAAAGTAGAATTAGCATGCTTGCATGCATAAAACAATTGTGAAAATGAATCAATACAGTCAATATATAACAACAAAAATAAAACAGGTGATAACATCAAGCATTATTAAATATTGAAAACACACTTTCTCGTTTCTAGAGACCCCTATTTATAACTTTTGTTCGAACGTCCCTGGATACCGCATTAGCCATAGGAAAAAACCTGAAGAACACATTATTATTTGTGAATCCTTTGACATTTTAATATATTTTAACTAAAAAAAGTGTATGAGTATGTTTATTAGAAATTTAATCACTATTACTTCACTGAATAGCACGTAAATCAATCATAAACAAGACGACTACAGACTGTGAATTACAAAGACGTCATTGTTTTGGTAAGCACAATATTTTGAAGTTCAAATTAGAGCCGATTTAGTAAGTGAAACTTTATCACCTAAGTATTATCACAAAGTACAAATTCTAAAGTTCATTTTGATGTACAATAATCTAACAATTAAGTTAAAAAATACGAAATACTTACGACATAATCACTGGTGCTCCGACACATTTTCGTGACAAGTCGACTGAAGTTGTTATTTTAAATTCTATGCATCCAAACACTAAACACTGTCCTCTTCTGTTATTTCTAGTGAAGTATTTCATAGATAATCATTTTTATCAAGCACGATGTTCATTTATTTCGGGATTTTTGAACTAGATGGCAATATTTACAACATGTAGTTTTGGATAGTACACTATGCCGGACGGACGACGGCATACTTTGTTTGTCTACTACACTATCCTCGGACATGCTAGTGGTTAATACAATTAGACAATCAATTGTACCCTGACGCAACAAGCGGTTCGTTACTACAAAAAGACATTGAGATTAACAAACATACCTAATTGGGTTCTCACTTACACAATTATAAACAAAATTTCATCGTTATCTTTGATTTTGTACAATAAAATAAAAATAAAATAGTACTGAATAATTTAATAGTAAAAATCAATTGCAATTATGATCGACAGTTAACTATGGTTCATAAATGACAGCTAGATCTCTGCGACAGCTGTCAGTAAAATCACGCCTATGAAGTCCTGAATTTCTTAGTAGTACAGACAGTACCTGTCAATGTCATACTTTATGGGCATGGATCGGCATGAACTATAATCTATCACAATTAATTTAAAAAATAATTATTTTACTTTATTTTTAGATTAATTTTTTTTAAATCCGTCGAATACTTTCAGTTTAAAAAGAGCTAGGTAAGTCAAAACCATTAAAAATAATTCCAAGTTTTATTGTAATTGCCGCCTCTTTTTATTTCGCTTGCAAATTTTAGTAAGTAAATTTCGGTTTGGCAACGCCGCAACATGTGTGTGAAATGGAAGGGTAGAGTGAGCGTAAATACAGTAACACCCAATAGATTGAAAGTAGAATAAAAATAAAAACAAAAATACATAGAGTAACTGACTCTTGTTTAGACCATAGGATAGAAAATTTCTTATAGATTCTACAATGCCAAACATCCTCATAGAAAAGTAGTCTCTAAATATAAGCATTTATGGGTTAAAGTGCTGTGGTTGGGTGTGGTCGAATCCGACCGCTTGAATTTGGACGGAACATCGCCTTGGTCGGATCCAACCATGTGCCCATTGAAAGGTTAATAACACCTTGGGTCACCACCGGCGAATTCAGTTCTTGCTTAAAACAACGCATTTGTATGGCCTACAAATAATCATTTTGGTTCATTTTGGTCACGAACAATCATTTGTTTTGTTTGTGTGTAGTAAAAGAACAAAATTTTGTATGTACAGTACATCTCCAACTACATGATGCAAGAGAAATTTATAATGTGGTGTTTTTATTTTTGATACTGTTTTTTACCTATGTCAAAGTCATCTGTTATACTCTTTGAACCATATCTAATTAGTGGCAAGTCATTCTCCGAATCCTCATGTCGATCTTCAAATGCATCAATCTCCAAGTTTTCTTGTTGTTCAGCAGTATCTAGAATGAAACAGATTCTGACTCAATATATAAAATAAAATCTGATATTTTTTCTAAGCGACTAGATCATTACAGCCCATCACACAGCTTATGGTCCCGAGCCACCCACTTTCATTATCATACCGCATGTTTCATAAGCTAAGTGTGGGCCGAAGAACTGATTACCGATGGAGAAGAAAGGTTCTCTTAACGTGACGTAATTGTGGCAGCCTCGTGCTGGTAGCTGTAGGGCGGTCCCCCACTAGATGGAGTGACGACCTGGTAAGACGTGCAGGAAGTCGACGCAAGCAGGTGGCTCAGGACCGTGGTTTGTGGTGTTCCTTGCAGTGGACTTGGGAAGGGCTGTCGTGATGATGACGATTCATTCACCTTATTTAGTGAGTGTTCGCCACAACCTGTTTTTAGTAGGCGAGTGCTTGCCAGTACAAGGATGCCCTGAGCACCTTTTCTCCATAAATTTTTAGTACGAAGTGACAAACAAACTAGCAGTCCACTGTACAGTAGCGGTATGTTGTCGATCCACCTGATGGTAAGTGGGTACTGCAGTCCACGCACTGCCTGCAGCTAACAACAAACATAAAAAGCTACAATGCGCTGTCACCTCTGACGACTAAGATGCAATGTCCCACAGCCAGTGATTACACTGACTCTATACTCTTCAGACTGGCACACAGCAGTGCACGCACTGCTATTTGACAACAGATAGCGCTTTTTACATGCACTATGAATTTAGGCAAAGGCAAATCAGTCCACTGCATGGAAGTTCTCTTTATTTTGTGTCCATGGGCTACAGTAACCAATTGCCATTATGTAAATTGTATCTTAATTTTATAATATCACAAAATGTGTATATCTTATCTTACCTATTTCATGACTCCAGTTTACTTCAAATTTGAAATTCTCATTTTCGATTTTCTCTTCCTTAACTTTAACAGATTCAAAGATAAAAATGTCGTCCTTACTATCATTTTCTAAATCACACTCTGCTGGCCAGATATCTATATGATTAATTGTTGTGAACTGAATCTCATCTCTAGCCTCATGCGGTTTTGGTATTGACTGAAACCAAACTCTTATTTAAATAAGCGTAGGAGAAGCCATACTACCCCATACCATCCCGCAGATGCAGTAGTATCTACCTGACAATAACTGCAAATAATAAAAACTGGACAAAAGTGAAAGATGCAGACAAAAGTTAAAGCCCCCAATAAATTTAAATAATTATGAGAGTCAAGAGTTTTTCTATAGCTTTTAAATATCTATAGCTTTTTAGCGAAATTGGTCTGCAGTTGTTGATATCCACTCCACTCTCATCTCCACTCTTGTGAACAGGTGTTACTAGGGACTCCTTGAACAAAGACAGAAATATACCGTTCTACTATATTAAAATAATGTGTAGTAGAGTATGACACATGATTTGTGATAGCCGGTACATATTTGTGTTTATAACCACTCAAACGTCCGGGCGACCATAGTCGCCTAAAACTCTTTCCGGTTGAACATTAGGGCGATTAGAGCAGCCTCGCTGACTTCTACGCTTTAAACAAATTTTTATCAATGGAAAGTTACAATAAGCTTCATGAATGTTGCACTAGATGGATCTATATTAAAAATGCATCTATCAGTTAATAAAAGATCTATGCCTGCTAACAAATACCATTAAAAAAAAAAGAAATAAGCGTTGTGTCCAGTTGTGTCATGTTTTGTGTAGTGGCCAGTAGTACTGTGCATTTTGTTTTCTGTGAAAAACTTTCTATTCATATATCAACAAGTTGTATGAATCCAGTCTGTCATGATGTTTTTTTTATAAGTGACGAAGTCGACATGCAAAAACTTCGCCTTTGTGTGTCGATCTTTTGTTAAGTTTTTGTATTATATAATTTTTATTTCAATAAAATATTTCTTATATGTATAAAAAAATTAAAAAAAAATTAAAATAATAACATAAATTTAAAAATAATAATTGATTTGCCACATTTTATAGCCGCCTGAGAGATACTTAATATTTATATAAGATTATTGTATTATTGGATAGGGTAAATCATGTTATATTAATTATTGTATAATTAATATATAGAAATAAAATGATTCTTCTTATTGTCAAAGAAAATAAAAATATATTAGGGTTTTTCAACTAAATTTCTAAAATTAATTATTTTTTTAGCTGTTGCATTTCAATTGGGTAAATTATTATTAACATAATTGAATTCTGCGTCTCATTCACTTTCATTGTATGACTATTAATTTGATATAAGTAACGAACATTCTCCGTGGTAACCATTTTAGTCAAACTGGTTGCGATAGGACCGTAAAAAGGCCGTGAAAAGTGGTGCGGGGTGTTCAAGGCTATTGTCGCCGTGTCGCTTGGACGTTCAATTGGATACGCCAACATTATAGTGATCATTAAACTGCCTGCCAAGTGATGATTAAGGCAAATATTTCATTATAATGGGAATGAACCATCAAGCAGTGAACTTTTATTAATAAGAAAAGTATTATTCCCTGGACCTTGTAGTGATGGTTTCAGGATATCCACTGCCCTATATACCTACCCATGGGACGGGTGTCATAAGAGGCGACAGAGAGAAACAGGAACAGGAGTTGGGCAGCGGCATCTTGCTGATAACTACTCAGACTAGTATAAACTGTGGTTCCCAACCTGCCAAGCGTGGCAAATTTTGCATAATCCCTCATATGAAACAATCTATGACAGACTTTTATAGGGTTTATTGGATAATACCATGGACCCTCCTGCAAGCAACTGCTCCAGAACTGCATTTGACTCAATAGCCTGTTGTTGTAACATTCTGCATCGATTGAGTCTTGCATGACAGATGAAACAGACAATTATGGGCTCCTCATCTTCATCCATCTGAAAATATGAGTTTGTCATAAATATGGAAAACTACTTAAATGTACAATTTTGTAATAAAATATATTTGTCACCACAACTCTCTTCTTCAACACAATTTTTTTATAACATTGAAGTGTTTTACAAATCATCCATAAGTGATGTCATGATATCATAGGCAAACTTTCTGTATGCAGTCAATAAAATGACACAATTCTCTAATTAATTTAAAATGTCGTGAGTGTCAAGGAAGTAGGAAATCTGCATGACATTAACAGATAACATTTTAAAAGCAGTAGATGCAAACTCTTGGGACCCTGACAGAGGTATTTCATGTTTGGGCTTTAAAAATTGAATCCTAATAAACATACATTCAAATTATAACTTTAAACTACTAGCATCACCATTAATATTACAAAATCTTTACTGAAAATGCTTGCACTAGGAGTAACTTAAACAATAGTCAAATGGCGGATTTGAACTCACTACTTTCTAGAGTTTGCAATCATTCTAACTATTAGGCTACTATCACTAATTTTTAAATGAAGTTAATAACAATACCCATACCCTTCCCCGAGCAGTTTTAACCGTTTTGATTTAATATCAACTGCAGTATAAAGTAAGTTCCAGATAAGTTTGGACATCCAACAATTAAATTATTTTATTTCATAATGGATATTGGCTGCAGCATTTTGCACATAACAGGTCAGAATAATTAAAAAAAACTGCAGTTGCCAACCCGCCTAGCCTAGGGTGGCAACTGTGGCAAATAACAATGATACCAAAAATGATTCTTAAAATATATAACATATATTCAACCCAATTCGGAATATGCCTCACAAATTATACTAAGTTACTGGAGAGGTTTAACACAGATATTCAAAAGTTCCAGGATCATTGAAAGCATACCATATGAGGAAAGTCTGAAAACACTTGAATTTACAACTTTGAAGATCACAGAAAATGAGGAGACTTGATGGAAAAATAATACATGGACACTATGATCTAGAAAATTTTGACAAACTATTATTACAGTACCCAAACAACACAAATCTTAGAGGCATCACTTCAAATTGACTTAAGTCGTGTATTGGTATGTTTTTGGTAACTTTATTTAGCGCTGCTGCACCTTAGCATAGCCCCGATCGATAGGCATCAGGCAAGTTATAATGTAATGTAATGTATAATGTAATTTCTCCAGCGATAACAACTAATTACCGCAACTTCAATTTGCAATATTAAGAAGTAATACTAAACTTACAAAACTGTTCGTCAATGCTCTATATAAATTTTGAAGGCCAGTCTTCTTTAGTACACACATGCGTACATTAATGGTTAAACAAATTCTACAAATTTCACTGAAGGCCATTCCTGTTTCCTATAGCTTTAATGTAATTATATTCTCTTTTTCACTAATAATCCGAAGTTTAGAAGCAGTAGCAGAAAACAAATGACTTCCAGGTATATATTTATAACCCAAATACTCTGTGCAAATGACAAATATGCAAAAAGAGCAAGACAAGTAACACAGATTAGGGATGTTCGATGATCATCGATGTTAGAAATTAAAACATCGATGTTTTAACATCAATGTTACCATACCTTATACCAAAATCAATATCAGCTAAATATTTCATTTCCTATTTAAGGTTTAAAATTTTGAAAAAAAAAAATATCATTATATTGGGTCCGACTGCGTTTCTTTGGCGCACTTAAATAATGGCGAATAATAGACTTAAATTAGTCTAAAATTCGTACTAATATTATTGCTATTGCGTTTGTTAATTAATTACGTCCACAATACTATTTATGTCCAATTCGGACTTAAATTATGTCTACGCATGTCTTTTGCAATTCCGTTTCTGACAATTTAACAGTTCGTTGGCTTTAAATGAACTTATACGTCTAGGAAGTGTTATTCTTTAAGTTCGCACCTATTTAGTCCGTACGTAAGCTAAGTTTCTTCAGAAAATAGTGAAAAATGTTTCCTTATGGCTGGGCTATCATTCAAAGAAGACACAATGAGGAACGGCAACGGTATGAGTACGAAATTTATATTATAGAAACTGCTTTTCTTGTACACGGTAGGTATAAGCATAACATAACCTAACCTTTTCGTTGTAGGGTTGCGAGAAGGATAGCGCATCGCTATATTCGGGACCATTCCAACCCTTTCGACGTGCCTGCAGAGGTTTTTACCAAATTATACAGGCTCTCCAAAAGAACTGCGCATTTTTTAGTGGAGTGTCTTCACCAGAATTTAAATCGACAAATGCATACGGAATTCCTGTGCATATCAAAGTTTTGGCTTCACTCCATTTCTTTGGACATGGCGGCTACCAAACAACGGTTGGGCAGGGGCAGTATTTAGGTTTAAGTGAGCCATCTCTAAGCAAATGCTTACAAGAAATTGCTGATGCAATTATAACTGTTTTATTGAACGGTATGGTGCTATTTCCAGAGACTGAAGAGGAAAGGGCAGAAAATAAACAGAGGTTTTCACAGATAGCTGGGTTTCCTTCAGTCTTGGGTTTGATAGACTGTAGTCAAATCTCCATTGTTCGCCCAAAAGACACAGCACTTGTGCCAGCGAGATTATTTTTTTAATCGCAAAGGCTTTTATAGTCCTAATTGCCAATTTGTATGTAATGCAAAGATGGAAATTATTCATTTCAATGCCACTTTTCCTGGATTAACACATGATGCAGCGGTCTGGCAAGGATCCAGTTTGAGCCAATTATTGGAAACCAATTATGTTAACGGTGTTTCAGCTGGTGAATGGCTTCTAGGAGACTCTGGATATGCCCAACTGCCTTGGCTGATGACCCCGTATGCTGATGCGGATGAAATTACACCTGAGGCTAGGTCCTTATTGAAAAGTGTTTTGGAGTGATGAAAACAAGATTTAGATGCATTCACAAGCACAGGACGTTGCATTATGACCCCGTGAAGGCATCTAAAATAATAGCAGCTCTAGTTGTTCTCCATAACGTGGCAATTAAGAGAAATGAACCTTTTCATTCTCGAACTCGAAGACAGATTGCGGCCAGCAGATGATCCTCCCAGGGATATGAATTTTTAAATGTGGCAAGAAATATTCGAAATAACATCACAAGACAATACTTTGCATGATGTGTTTTAATTAAAGATTTAAATTAAAGAATTAATAAAACTTAATTTCGAAAAAATAGTTTATTTATTTTTATTGATCGCTTCGATGAACATGGTAGCGGTACGCATTATGCAATCGCCAAGATACCGAGCGGCCTCTGTCTGCGCATTGGCGAGCGCCATCAGCGCTTGGGCTCCCTCCCTTAAAGCCGCTATCATGGCATCTTCTTGCGGGGTGGCTGAATCGGCTGGCGGCACGAGTGTACGGGGCGTTGCTCGACGCACGTTGCGGCGCTCGAGGCGCGGAGTGTTGCGCACCACGCCGTCCTCCAGTCTCTGTTCAGGGGTTGAGGCCACTATGTGTTCACGACTGCAACCGATCGTCGCCAGATCCCTATTTGCCGCTGGCATCATCAACGCGTCTACCGCAATTCGACCAACACGAGATGCTGTCGGTATTGATGACGCGTCCGTCACCATTGAAGTGACGACAGTCGCCCCATCGTGACTTGCCGTTGGTGTCAACGCGTCCACCATAGCCGCTTCCTTCGGGGGCTCTTCTTCAGTGTCTGAACGTATATCCTGCATAGTACAATTACAAGGATAAATTCATACAATTGTACCACTATGAAGTCAATTTCAGAATACCATTATGCATAAAACTCTTTTTAACATGACTTCAGTATTTATTACTCATATCATTAATAATGCGGTTATTCTATAATTACCAAAATTGACCATAACGCTTAATGAAAACTACATCAAAATCTAATCAGTAGAACTCAAGTCATAATAAGGGCACTGTTTAAACTTATTTATAAAACTAACAAATCTTATTTATATGTATATAATAATGTTGTTGTGAATAGGTAAAATATACTCACAACTGTTACTGCGTCTACAATCAACGTCTGCTTGGGCTTTGGCAGTTGAGCATCATCCAAAACCTGTAGTCAAAATAAAATCAACTTAACATCAGACCATTACTGGTAATAAATATCACGACTGCTACAAGCATTGCCATAACACACTCACAATGACTATGTTTTGTTTAACATGAGGATCCGGAACATCAACAATGGGCTGTGGAGTCCCTGGGACAATAATAATACCCTGTAAGAAATTTACAAGTCAAGGATCAAAGTTTTCCGTTCATATTACAAAAGGACATATTTATAATATTAATGCTATGTAATGTATGTAGTTTTCAAAATTAACATAATTGTGATGATTGATGCAATCAAGAAAAAATAAGTAAATCTAATATAGAGCTAGAATTTACACAGGAATGCTTGTAGATAGGATAAGTTAGAGTGCAATATATGATTATGATCAAATTTAAAATGAACTTGCTATTCTGCAAATAGATGGATGGATGAGTAGGGTAAATCAATAGATTAAAATATAAAAATTTACACTACTAAAACAAAAATTCACATGAAATATTTTGTAAACATACTGTTAACCGTTTCCGAATTCCTCATCAAGAAGTTTAATAAATATTGTTGCTGTTCTTTCTTCATTCTTGGCTTCTTTGTATCCATATTTATTAAAATTTTAATAATTCTTGCGAAAACTCACACAAAAAATAACCACTACAGACTTGACAACTTGACAGACTAGTGGTGTGGTGTTGCCATTTGCGGCGGCAAACGAACGTAATTATGTCCATTTCCATAGACGTAGCATTAAGTTCAAATTTAGTGACGTGAACTTATTTTAACAGAAACGTAATAGTTTTAGGTTAAGGACATGGACATATTTAGTAAAATTTTAGTCTGTTATTATTTAGGTTCGAAGAGAAATGCAATCGGACCCAATGCCATAATAATATAAAGTTACTACATGCCAATTCGAGAATAACCAGAATTGGTGTAGTCGCCATCTAGCGCACCTTTTAGAATTTAAAGTTCAAAAGTTTATGCGGATATAGTACAAGATGGCAATAGTGTCTTTGCAAATTATTGAACCCCAACCTAAAGTATGGAAGTGTACCCCCCTGGGCATCACTTCAAATTGACTAAAGCCGGGTCACAAAATTACCAAAAAGTGGTTGAAGTATGAAACCACTTGCTATCAAAAGTGATATTATCACAAATCACTAACCAATTTTAGAACTGATTGGATAAAAAATAAAATAAAACAACTAAAAGTTTGAAACCAGAGCAGTGCAAAATAGTTTAGTAAACATATTTAAATTCAAAATGCAAATGCTTAGTTATTTTTTCAATTAAAGTATTTAAAAATATAAAACGCAAAATATGTATTCAAAATAGATTTTTTAAATAAAATACCATATTTCATTGATTTTGACACTAGTATTTCTTCAAAGATTTGATCTTTCATATTCCATTTATGTGGCTTCTCATAATCTTTCCACCAAACAAAAACAGTCATTCAACAGGAGCAGTACTTGGTAAGCAAGTGTTATATTTAAGAAAGAGCTTTTGAATATGTATGTGTAATGAGTATGACTTTTTTATATCAAGGATCACTTAATTTTATCATTGGTTGTTTTGTTTGACATTGACAAATACACAGAAACAGTTCCAAGCCAAGCTGTAGTTCCCAGAAATTTGTTTGACTTGCAATGTGGGCATTATTATTGTTGACCCCAACGTTTAGAATGGCTGGCTTATATAAATAAAGTAATTTTCAACGAAAGATTGAAAATATTAGAAATTTAACAAAACTATGTTGCATTTTACAATGTACTAAATATTAATGCATTGTTTCAAATAAAATACAAAATAGATTTTGAAGAAAAAAGGATATCAAATGCAATATGAAAATAGGTATTTTGCAGTTTGTATTTGCATTTTAAATATATGTAATTCCAATATTTCATAAGCACACAAGTAAATGAATACTGTGGCCCATAGACATCTACATTTATCCCCAATTAATAGTCACCCCTCAGGACCAAGACGGAACGCCTCACTACCTACCGGTATATAGGGTCTCCCATTCTCTACACTCACCATCGGAACAGCATTAGGCTGCTATTTTATGTTGGTATTCTGTGAGCACGGGGTAACACCCCCATAATGATAATAATCTCCTACAGACTAGGAGTGGGCTATACAAATCGTATATAGATACAATATCTATATATCAGTACAATATTCAACATCTATATATTGGGCGACAAACCAACTATATATTAGATATTACGATATCGCTGCCGCGGCAATACAGCCAGCGGTGTCTGATTCACAGAATATCTAATATCTACTCGAAACGAAAACGTAAAATATCTTAATATATACATTGGTTCAAATACCGAACAAACCGTGAGCGCGATAGAATATATAGTTGAAACTTGAAAGCGATATTACGACTACTTCACAACTAAAAGGTGTGATACGCTTACGCCTAATATTATTAATATTAATCCTTATTAGTAGTTTCATACGATTTATTACAGAACACATCATTTTTAATATCCAGTCTAAGTAGTATTTTATGAATATTTAGCTGTGTTGCACTGTTTTCAAAATAAACGACTTTAGATCTTATTGTGTTTATAAATAGAGTGTTATTTTTGATCCAATTAATTTTAAATATTTGTAACATGACCTGAAAATTTAAGAACCGACATTGAAACATTGAAGTGCCTATTTGCTCCTATGATTTGGGTTTTAACAAAAAAAAAAGGTCTTGTGTTCTATTTTTAAATTTTATTTTCAGTTTCGTTCACATTCCTTGTGAATTGCGTCGCGTAATTTGAATGCAGATGACATATTTTATGTAATTTCTCTGCTCGCTTTCATTTTTAATTCGGTTTCGAAATTTTAATTTTAATTTGATAAATTTTTGGTTTTATGATAGTTTTTTTAAGTTTGAACTGTTTTTGTGTATTAAAAATAGTGTAACATAAAATATTATATATAGATGCGTAGATATTAGGTAGATACTGTACATTTTTTTAACAAATTAATTAAAGTTCATTGTTAAAAATTGTGTAGAACATATTAAACCTATTAAGTATAACAATGTCTCGTCCGCTTACAAGCATAATATGGGACTATTTTGAGAAGTATGACATATCGCAACAAATCCCACATTTGGCCTTTTTATATAGTCAATAAAAAGGCCAAATGTGGGATTTGTTGCGATATTTATAGTTATAAGGGCTCAACAGGCAACCTTAAGGCTCATTTAAAAAAACAGCTCATTCAAACAAAGTAAGTACAGCCCAAAAAGAAGCGAAAACGTGTCAGCAACAAAGACAATTATGTTCGTCTTCGGTGTTGACAAATATGGATTTAAACAATTTTCTCGATGGTACGTCATCTGCCGCTGGTACGCCATCTGCCGCTGGTACGTCAACTGCCGCAAGTCATATCCCGAAGACTACGATGCAGCAAACAATAGAAAGATATGGCATGGCAAAAAAATATCCAATGATGAATAAATGAATGAATGAATGAATGATGATTATGAGACTAAAAAGAAAATTGATCGAGATCTATTAGATCTATTTATTGATAGCTACCAGCCATTTTCATTGGTGGAGGAAAGGGCGTTTAAAAATTTTGCTCGGTGGATTCCCGGCTACCAACTGCCAAGTAGAAAAACAATTTCCACCGTCATGTTGTCTGCATTGTACAATAAAACAAAATCGGAAATGAAAATGGTATTAGGCCCAGAGTGCAACTATTCTATATGTCTTACGCCAGATTTATGGACCTCAAGATCGAACGAGTCCTATATAGCCGTCACCGCTCATTATATGACAGATGATTTTGAGCTCAAAACTGTTTTACTTGATTGTTGCAATTTTCATGACTCCCATACCGGTGAAAATATACAGGAAGTATTAAAAAATATTGTGGCTGAATGGGGCCTAACTGATAAAATAATATTTGCCGTAGCAGACAACGCTGCTAATGTACAGAAGGCCATTCATAACATCGGCTGGAAGCAATTTGGATGCTATGGCCACACTTTGAATTTAATAGTTCAGGATTCCCTCACAACTGTTCAACCAATTTTAGAAAAGGTTAAAAAAAATCGTTCGACATTTTAAAACAAGCTCCACGGCTTTGGAAAAACTTTTAAAGGCACAAACGGATGATACAGCTGGTTGCATCCCGAAGCGCCTTATACAAGAAGTCCCCAGGCGTTGGAACTCAACGTTTCTTATGGTTCAGCGCTTCGTTGAAATGGAGCGGTACATTAGATCCACAATGGCCATTCTTAAAAAAGATCTGCCTACACTCACAAATGATGAATGGAATCTTCTTTTAGACTTAATAAAAATTCTACAACCATTCCATCAAGCCACAGAAACAATTAGCGGTGAAAATTACATGACCGGTAGTCTTGTCATTGTAATGACACGCTGCCTTTTAGCGGCGAGTGATAAACTCTTAACGGAGCTAATTTTAGAAACATAAAAATGTCCTCTATCGTCTCAGAACAGGCCTGGTGACAAGATTCGGCCTTGTGGAACGAAGTAAAACGTTCAGGACATGCACGTTACTCGATCCTAGATACAAATTATCTGTTTTTAGTGATCAGAATGAGGCCAAAAACACAAAAAATCATATCCAGGATATGTTAGTTGCGATGATTGCTCAAGAGTGTTCACATGAGGAACAATCATCCTCTATAACAGCCATTAGTACAAAAATTGATGGCTTTCGTGTTATCCTGAACGAAATAATAGGACAAAAGCAGCACACAGTCGGGACTCCTTTATCAAAGGCCATTAAGGAGATCGACACATACTTAAACGACGACCTACAGCCAATCTTCCATGGCGACAAATGGAGCTGTCCTCTTCAGTGGTGGCGTGGCCACAAATTTACATATCCACATCTTGCCAAACTTTTTCAAAAATATGGAAATATAATGGCTTCATCTGTTCCATGTGAACGTATATTTAGCAAAACGGGCATCTTATTAAATGACCGTAGGACCCGACTTACATCCCAAAAAGTAAGACAACTCACCTTTTTAAATGTAAATTTAGACAAAAATAGGTTCACATGAATAAGTAAAACCATAATGTAAATATTTAATTGTAAATAATGTCAAAAAGTATGTAAATATCATGAAATGAACTTTTAAATACGCCTGCATTACATATTTTTATTAAAAATTATTGTATATTATACAGACACAACTGTCGTAAAAAGCAAATGTTATTACTTATCTACCTAAACAGGGAATGTATAACGCGAAGTTATAATATATTAACTTAATACTTAATAATACTTCGCGTTACTAATTAACTTTTTATTACTATTATTAAGTGATGCAGTCAGTCCTATGCCTGATAAAAGTATGAAGGAAAGTTTATTTCACCGATTCTGAGGGTAAATTATAGGGTTATAACCACTATAATAACCTTATCCAGTTTAACAACGAATGCAAAATACACCCCGACCTTCAAAGGCATAAGCAATATGATAATTTTCAACCACAAGTGTATAAAATATAAAAGTTTAATTTTGTAGCAAATAAATGTTACAGTCCTTATTTTTAGACATGTATTTAAGTGTAATAAATTAAAAATGTTTTTAGAGTAAACGAG